CAGCATAGTATTCCACTGTGTAGATGTACCACTGTTTTCTAATCCATTCATCTACTGATGGGCACTTAGGCTGTTTCCAAATCTTAGCTACTGTAAATTGTGCTGCTATAAACATAGGGGTGCATATATCCTTTCTGATTGGTGTTTCTGATCTTGGGATATATTCCTAGAAGTGGGATCACTAGGTCAAATGGGAGTTCCACTTTTAATTTTGAGGAAACTCCATACTGTTTTGCACAGTGGCTGCACCAGTCTGCATTCTCACCAGCAATGTATAAAGGTTCCTTTTTCTCCACATCCTCGCCAGCACTTGTTTGTTGATGATAGCCATTCTGACAGGTGTGAGATGGTATACCTCATTGTTGTTTTGATTTACATCTCTCAGATGATTAGTGACTTTGAGCATTTTTTTCATATGTCTCTTGTCCTTCTGTATGTCCACTTTCAAGAAGTGTCTATTTAGGTTCCATGTTTTGATTGGGTTGTTTATCTTCCTTTTGTTAAGTTGTATGAGTTCCCTATAAATTTTGGAGATTAAACCCTTAGCAGATGTCACATTGGCAAATATGTTCTCCCTGCAGTGGACTTTCTTGTTATTTTGTTGATGGTTTGTTTTTCTGTGCAGAAGCTTTTTATTTTTATGTAGTCCCACTTGTTTATTTTCTCCTTCATTTCCATTGTCCTAGGTTTAGGAGATGTTTCAGTAGACATATTGCTATGAGATATGTCTGATATTTTGCTCCCTGTGGCTTCTTCTAAGATTTTTATCATTTCCCGTCTTACATTTAAGTTTTTTATCCATTTTGAATTTATTTTTGTGTATGGTATAAGTTGGTGGTCTAGTTTAATTTTTTTGCATGTATCTGTCCAATTTTCCCAACACCATTTATTGAAGAGACTGTCTTGACTCCATTGTATGCTCTTGCCTCCTTTGTCAAATATTAATTGAGCATAATGGCTTGGGTCGATTTCTGGGTTCTCTGTTCTGTAAGTATAATATTTTTTACTTATCTCTATATTTTATTATTTCATCTATCTTACCCTTATTGTGGAATCCTTTTGGATTCTAATCTTTTCCTCCCAGATTAACACCATTTGCTCATTTGTTTAATATTTTATAATATCCCCATCCAGGTAATTAATAGAAATATTAAATAAATTCACACTTTCCATTGCTATGATTAGACTTTTTTCATTTTTGAAGTTATTTATCATTGTAACAAAACCTGTTGCCTGAAAATCTGTACTTTTGAAAAGTGCCACTGTGCCACTGTCCAGTGTTGATTTGTGTATATAAAATCTTATTTTTAAACTTGTCCATTCCCGACTATATTTTTATCCATTACTAGACAGTGCTGTATTCTTTTTCTCCCTGCTTTGTCAGGCCTAAAGTTTGATTATTGGGACCCATCTGCTCAATCCTATGTGTATTATGCCTGAAGGAAGACTTTCAACCCATCTGTCCAATTCTACCACACCCCAAAGAAATCCCAACATGAAATAGATAATAACACTAGTTAGTAAGTGAACTTAATAGATGTGGACATTGGTACGAAACACTGCCAGAGTATGTCTACTCTCTGATGCATTTTGATCTAAGTCCCAACATTGTGGAATTATATTTCTTGGTGGTCCTGCTTCTAAGGCAGCTGGTGCTGGTAAAAGGTATCAATTGACTTTTAGTAGAGTATAATAATAATGCTAGCATTAGAAGGGAGGTTTAAGATCAAAGCTTTGCTTAGAGGGCTGCAGCTGTGTTGCAAATGCCAAATTCAATATCATTCTTTGTTCAGTGGTTATCTCATTAGTTTGATGAAACACTTAAGATGAGCTTAAAGTATTTCACTTGTGTGTCCATTCTTTCACTCATCATCTGTTTGTTCACTGCCTACCATGAGGCTGGTGCCATGGGAGAGGTTGAATGTACAGAAATAGAAGTCGTGAGCCTAGTTTTCAAGAGATGTTTCAGTGAAGTAGTGGAGACAAACTGGCAAAAACAGAATTAGAAGCATCATCACATCCAAACTGGAGGGGCTTAAAGATAAAGGAATAGATCTGAAAAGGCATATATTTGTGGATGAGTATTATCCACAAACGGTAGGGAATGGGAATGTCTGGATTGTAGGATTTATAGAATAGTGATGGCCCATGAAGATTCTTGGTCTTATACATTATGTGAAGAAATTTGGCTTCTGGTAATTTGCTGTGTGACTGGCCAGTGTATATATAAGTGAATGGTCACATATAAATCTGTCTTTTAGCTCAATTCCTTTTTCTTATAACACATTTAGTCTCCCTACACTTAAAACGTGAACATCAAATCTCCTATGTTCATTGGAGCATCATTTACAATAGTCAAGACATAGAAACAACACAAGTGTCCTCCACTGGATGATTGGATAAAAAAGATGTGATACATATATATTGAAATACTACTCAGCCACACAACAAAATATATTGCCACTTTCAACAACATGGATGAATCTTGAGTGAAATAAGTCAGATGGAAAAGGACAAAAACCATATGATTTTGGGATATAAAACAAAAACAATAACTGTATAAACAAAATAAACAAATAAAAACTCAGACTCATAGATATAAACAACATAATGGTGGTTACCAGAGGGAAAGGGGGCTTGGGGAGGATGAAAAGGGCAAAGGGGGTCAAATCCAAGGTGACACAGGAGATTTGATTTCAGGTGGCAAGCACATGATAGAGTATATAATTGAATTATAAAATTGTATTACAGTGGGGCCTTGACTTACCAGTGGCCCGACTAATGAGTTTTTTGAGATACCAGCTGTCTCTCAGCCGATTTTTTGCATTGAGTTGATAGAGTAATTTGAGTTAATGAGCTCCTTAACAAGCTCGGTCTCAGAACAAATTAAATTCGCAAGTCAAGGCCCCACTGTATAAAGGTGTATACCTGAAATTTATATAATGTTATCAACCAAAGTTATCTCAACAAATTTTAAAAATATGTCTTAGAAATAGAACAAGTTTGGAAAATTTTCACAGTGATAACAAAGGATCAAAAATATTAACAAACTGTGTAAACATTAAAGTGTGTGTGTGTGTGTGTGTGTGTGTGTGTATTTGTGCACATGTAGGAAAAATTCAAGACAAGACTACAAAATGTTTACTGTGATTATCTTTATATTTGGGAATATGAGTGAATACTTGATTTCTTTTATATAATTTTCTATTGCTCTTCTGTATTTTCCAATATTGTACAATAGACTGAAAAACATAAAAATTATTTTAAAACACTATAAGTAAATAATAATAATGATTAGAATAACTATTATTTAGCTGTGGTTAAAGTAATAGAAACTGCATAATCTGAAAAACAGAAGATGCAAGAAAATGTGAATAAAGGACTATCGAAGGGAAGGGAATTTGATACTCATCTTATAGGGATCAAGTAAGAACTTGAACCAACAGAAATTAGAGGAAGACAGAATTTGGCTTAATAGAAGGAAAATAATTCTAATGGGATTTTTAAAAGTGGGAGCAGGCTTTCTCAAAAGGTTTTGATTTTATTTATTTATTTATTTATTTATTTATTTTTGTCACCAGAAGAGGCTTGACCACAATTTTCCAAGAATACTCTTAGAGTAATTAAGGTTTGGTAGTTAGGTCTAGAATGCTCTCCCGCCAGAAATTTTAAAATCTGGATATTCCCAAACAACATATCTAAATACTTCCTCACCATCAGAGATTTATTTCTCTGGGGCAAGGTATTATTGTTTCTGGGAATTCTCTTTTAATCTGTTGGAGAGCAAAGTAGAATTCCCCACCAAGTTCAAAAGTAGTTCCTTTGGGGCCAGAGCACATGTGTTTTCACTTCAGTACTCTTATTGCCGACAGCAATTCCAAGCATACAGTCTACCTGTAGCAGCTCATGTTTTTTGTTTGTTTGTTCGTTTGTTTGAAGAAAGCCAATGTATCCATCCTGGTTAATACACTACCCTGGGTCCAGCACATCCTGCCTGCCCCTCATTCTCAGTAGCGTGCCTCACTTCCCAGCTAAAGGAGCTTCCCAGCACCCACTGAGTGTCTGGGCTCTCCACCGGCTGCATGGGGAGCCACAAACATAGCAAAGAAAGACAGGAGTTCGTTGGTTGTCAGATGGACCAGAAGAGTCATTCGCCTTCTCCCCAGCTTTCTTCCCTATTGTCCCGAGATGTGCTGGTTCCACAGAGGCTTCTCTTAACCCCTTCCCCAACAATTTTTTTGTTAAAAACGTTTCTTTTTCAGACTAATTTTTTTATTTTGGTTCTATATAGTATTTTTGATGCTGGTTATGAAAATAGTTTGTAACTCGTCTTCCTATAAACCATATTTTTTTACCATATTTTCTTAGTATACTCGTCGACGACTGAAAAAGAACATTTTGTGAAAACGAGTATACACGTTTCTGCCGGGGAAGGGGTTAAGGCATATCGCACAGCCAAGCAAATAGTCATGTTTCCTTGAGAAGCTGTGGCCAACTTGTGTTTGATGTCCCCTCTTTTCTCCTTCATTCTTTTCCCTTTACTCCCACTCCAGTGCCAGGTGCCCCAGTAAAGCGTCAGCACATAAGCTTTGTTTCAAGTCCGTTTTCCCAAGAATCTGCACTAGGCTAGCAATTGAAATTTTACTGTGAGTTGAGCAAAGGATAACAAATCCATCCTAGGAGATCTTCTGAAAAAGTGAGTTGCAGGTAAATTCTCCTACAAAGAACTAAAGGGAGAATGGATCTGTGGCCTGGAGGAGGACTATGGGACCAGAAACACATCCTGATGTCAATGGGTGGACATGAGAGAATGACCAATAAAAGTTACCCGTCTGTGTAAAGATCTTGCCAAAGAAAAGCTTTGCTGGTAAACTCGGTCCTTGCCTTAGTCCCCCCCAAACTCCATTAAGCAACTGGCTGGATGATGCCATCATTTCCCAAGGCCTTTCTCACAGGGCTTAATTCCCATTGTGCTCCCAATCCTTGTGCCCTTCACTCACCGACTTTTAGTTCCCCGCCTGCAATGACCATGCAGGCCACACTCAGAACGTTGCTTCTGTCCACAGGGAACTCTAAAGTCCCCACCACATAGAGGCCTTTGAGGAATGGAAGGTCTGTATCCACAAGGACAGTCCTGTCTGCAGGAGGAAAAGAAATTGTTCAGACATGTAATCAAAACAAGAATTGCCTTCTCTTCTCCAGTGATTTGCTCTGCAGTTCTGGAAATTTGGGAGGTGTTTGTGTTACTACCTCTTCCAGGACAGGTACAGCACCTGAAGGAACAAATAGTGTTTTAAACATCAGGCCTTCATAAAGAGGTAGGAGGAAAAAAAGAAGGCATGATTAATAAATTCTGCCATTGGTTAACAAACCAAGTGTTATGACCACAGGGCATTGCTTAGGTCCCAAAGAGCTAGGCCAAGCCTACTTTAGGGCAAATGTATAGATGAGGTCCCTACACTTTCCCCCGTCCCTAAACTTTGGCTCTAGTTCAGAGACATAGAAAGAATCACAGATATGACCTTGGCCTCTGAAGTCCGAATATTAGGATGTGAATCCCAGTTCTGCTACTTATTGGCTATGTGAACCAACAACTTTACCTCTCTTGACCTCAGTTATCTAATCCTTGAAGTGGGGATAATAACGACCTGCTTTATTCATAGGGATTTGTGAGGGTTAAATGATCTGCTTATACAATACTAATTAGCCATTCAAATTGCCCAATTCCCACCATGTAAGCAAAGTGTCTGCTACATGTTCAATACATGTGATTATTTTTATTATTTGTACTATTGTCTATTAGCTTGGCATGCCTATAGAGCTCACAGAACACTTAAAATCATTATTCTTAGTTTTCTCTTTCACAAAGAGTTTCCTTCCAACTTTAGAAGAAAGAATCCTAGAATTTTTACTAAAACAGAAAATATTTTATGTATTCCAAAGTATTGTGTTACTTTCTGAGGCTCAGCAGTAATTTGGCACAAATTAAATATATCAAATAAATATTTCTGCTTAAATTTCAAGTACCATAATCAGTGACACATGTAACTTTTAAAGAAATTTTTTAACATAACCTCATGTTTTATTTCAGGAAACAATGCACACTGCTATGCTTAAGGATCTGCCCCCCAGATTAGCCTCTCATGAGTTGTCTTTTCTAGTCCTGACTACTTTCCTAGCTGTAAGACAACCACGCCTTCCTGTGTCTGTAAGATTGTAAACCAACCACTTCCCTTCTCCTCTTGGGTCAGACCACCTTTTCCAGCTTTCTTTGAAGTTAGGTGAAGCCATGTGACTCAATTGTAGTCAATAAAATGGAGGCAGAATTGAAGTGTGGTATCTCTGGGCCTGTTCCATAAATTATCTTGTATGTGCTCTCTCTTTTCCTTTGTTGGACAGAACAGTAGTTCTCAAGGTATGGTCACGATCCAACAACATCAGCACCACCCACTCATCTGTCAGAATCAGCCTAAGGTTTAGCTCTGCTAGCAAGCCATCCCCAATCCCACCAACGGATTCACCACTCCCCCGTGGGAGTCTCTCTCTCTTTCACTCTCCAATGATAACCCTGTAAATTTCCATAATAGAGCACTACAATACATTATTATAACTGTATACATATTATTGTTTGTAAGGAGGCAACTATCACTGGGTTGGTCTCGGTGTAATTATGTCTTTCTTTCCCACTGTCATTTTCTTAAGTGAAGAAACCATCTATTTTTTAAACCCCTAGTTTTTATTGTGACATCAAAAATAAAGATGTTAAGTGAATGTTGCCAAAGTCAAATTCCAGAGTTTATTAGCAACTAACACAAAATGAATAATCAGGCTAAACAGATAGAATATATATACATATATATACATATATACACCTTTTATGTATATATATATATTTCAATTTAATCTCTGATACTTTAAAATATGCAAAAAAGGAGTGACAAATATAGAGAATGTTCCAGGTTTAGCATACATTTTGGGGTTCATGACTTTACTATGACTTTAAAAGCAAGATAAATTATTTCATCCAAGCACCTCTGAGTTCTATACAAATGGCTTTTATGTCTTTCAACCTATGGCCTTGTCTATCAATGTTTGGCTGTTGAGCCTAATTGTAGAAAACAATTAAATTGCTTCAAAAATGTTTTCTCTCATCCACATAGTACTCATAGACACATAAAAGCATGATATTAGCCCTCTTCTGAATATACTTTTCAGTTAAATTATGACAATTACATGGAATTTAAAATTTCCCTCTGGTCTTTATCACATACTCCCTTAGGATATATTTTGATTTAATTGCCTTACCCACTCCAAATATATACAGGCAATTTCTCACAAATCACAGATAGCCTAACTATTATAAGTGCTATGAGACCAGAGACCGTAGCTTCCAGTCGCACTTTTACTTGCTCAGCACCTGGAACAATACCTATCATAAAGTAAATGCTCAAAAACAACACCAAAGAACACATGTTCCAGGGCACACACCCGCTACATGTAGAGCCCAATAACCATCAGAGGAAAATAACAGAATGAAGAGAAGAGTAGAGGCAATGCCCTTGTTTCCTTCAGTGCCAGCTTCCCTTTGCCATTCCCTAAATCTGCCTATTCACCTTTTCATTTTTCCTCCTTTCTTTCCACCGTGTGCCATATCTTGAGTAGTGGGAATTCAAAGATGAGTAACACGTTTCCCATCATCAAATGAAGAGAAACAAATAAGTACAATACAATATACTTGAAATGATAATATACTTTTTCATTATGTGGTGTTTGATCCTATCTTCATTCCTATCCTAGCAAGTCTATCTATGTGTTTCTTGTAGCAAGATTCTGCCAGAGTAATAAAAAATAAACATATGCCCTAAATTTTTTTATAAAGGAACTCGCCTTTTATCACTGGAACACAGGTTATACCTATCATTGCAAATAGCAAAATAATGAATCCTAATGCACTCTCCAGAGAGATCAGCTGTGAATTCACATTGGCCAACCCTCAGCTGTAATGGAGGTTTTAGAGCAGTGATTCTGAACCTAGGCTGCACATTAGATCACCTGGGAATCTTTTTAAAATCCTGATTTCTGGGCCTCATCCTCCGGAAATTCTGTTTCTTTGTTACTAATGTTGTGGCCCCACCCCATAACATAGAAACATAATTTCCAGAGGATGAGGCCCAGGGATCAGGATTTTAAAAAGATTCCCAGGTGATTCTAATGTGCAGCCTAGGTTGAGAACCACTGTTTTAGAGAATTTCTCTTTGTGCCGGGTGTAGAAAGTTAGAATCAATGTGCCACATTCTCTAGAAGTAGCATTCTTTCCATGAAATTACTCAAGACATTTCAGAAAAATCACTCCAAAAGTTACTTATACAACCCACTTAAAAATATGAATGGTAGAGCACCTGTAATTTAACTGTGGCCCACTGCTGTTCACCTTGTCTTGACTTGGCCAAGGCTACTCTATCCTATTTTGTCAATGACCAATCTATCCTACTTAAGAGAATGAGCACTGGCATATGGAGGGAACCATCTGGAATTTCTATTGCTCGATGGGAGGCTGATGGGGGAACAGATCTGGAAAGAGACTCCAAAAGGAATTCATGAGTACCAGCTGTAATTAAAGACTGCTTCCCGCCGCCCCCATCCCTCACCCATCCCCCCTACCTCCACCCCCCACCAAGGACCTTAAGACCAGCCATGGAGTGGTGCCTCTTGATTCCAAAATATACCCTCTTTCCATTTGTTCATCCACCAAGCACTAAATATCCCACCATCTTTATTCTAGTATCATTTGCCAAGAACTGTTTTGTTTTATTTACAGAAAGGGTTGTATTTTGACAATTAGAAAGATAAAGCTTTAGAGATGATATCTTGATACTTAAACCTAAAGAGGAATCATCTGAATATCCTCATGTATCAAATGCAACAATAAAACAATAGAGTCTTTAGTACTTATAAATGCATCATCTGTCCTTAAGACCAGAAAGCCTGAGCCAATTATAAGGCAGATATCTCTGACAGAGGGCTAGGGCTTCTTTTGTATCAGGAAGAGTCTGACTCCCATAGTTACAAAGCGTTCCAGATCATTTCAACACTAGATTTAAACTCAAATTTTCCCCCAGCAAAGTCAGGGAATCAAGGTTACTATTGTGCAGCATTCCAAGGGTCTGACACTTGTCTAAACCCTGTAGAAATGAGATCCAGGGCAAAGGGCACAGATCCTGTTGAATAATGATAGGGTCACATGAAGAGGCATAATTTAGGGCAGGCAGACCCACTGCTTGCTTGTATGGTGTTCACTGTATCTGGCCCCATAACTTAGGTGGTGAAGACAGTTTCCACTACAACCCTGCTATTGTCAGGAACACAGCCTGCACCCACTTCCGACTTCCGAGGGACAGTGATGGCATGCAAGGGCAGTGCAGGACATACAAGAACATACAAAAACTATTTGTACGCTTGTTATTTCCAATTATGTACCTTCTGTGATAAATGGGATTGTTTCTACATTCAGTCTTGGCCATAATATTTTTCTGTTAATATATGAACCAATGCAAAAGTAAGTTTTAATGCCATTAGAAGCACTAATGATGCAATCTTCCTTTTTTAAAAAGAATACTTTCAGCTCTAAAGGAACTACTTTAAAGATATATTTTCAGTAATAGTAGGTGGTGTGTGTTTTTCCATTGTAGTCTTGTTTAACTTTTGGTGAATCTAACAATTCATCCAAATAGTCTTATCACAATTTATGGGAAAGATTGTCATAAAAAACAAAACTACTCATAAAAAAGGATGGACGTTCTCATACGTAAATCATTCACAGGTATGCAAGGTTAACATGATGGAAAATCAATGTCAAGTAGACTAATTTACAGAGGTGATGGTATGTGTTTACCCAGAAACCATCCTCTAGTAGAAAAAGCAGAACAAAGAAGTGCTGGAATATAAGGACGCATTCTTTCCATAACTAAATTCTTACCCACGTGCTGCTAACTTTATGGTCTCTTTTTCATCAAAGCCACACAGGTGGTTTCTTTATTCTTTCTGCCTATCTTTCTTTTTACATCCTTGTCTTAAAAATAGGCAGAAGTTGCACTTTTCAAAGTGCCCAGAGGCACATGATTCAAGACTAAAAGCCGCT